CAGGGCCTCTCCTTAGTTTTTTCTTCCTCCATGGTGCAAGCAGAGAACCAACGCGTTGAGACGGCATTGGTTGAGACATAGCCTCATAGATTTCTCCTGCCTGCCGGATTATAAGCGGTAACTTGGGAAGCGACCGCCGTCGGAAGTATGGTAGTGGCGTCACTTAAGTGGGAGTGCCTTCAAAGAAGTTTTCACGTTTTTGGAGCTTATATGCAACAAAATAACGTACAAAAGTTTTTAAAAGCCGTAAACGTAATTATAACTAACCCTAAGTAAGCGCCGCCGTTATAAATGACAGGTGTTTTGCTCTTATTCAGCAGGCAACCCCTTCAATACAAGACATAACCTCTGAAATTAGCCTTCCTCCGTGGAAATTAGCAAATGCCAATCTCAAAGACCAAGTACAAAGACCTTTATTCCTACGTAGGTGGCGTCGCCACAAATGACAGGCGTTTCGCGTTCATCTGGCAGGCAAAAGAAATATAGGAGGCTATGGTTGAGAAATTACACAACACGCCTACGCACCACGGAGGAAGGAAAAGGTCTTCCTCCGTGCCCACGCACGGAGGAACGCGCCCACGCCACCTTTTCCTTCCTCCGTGCACCCACGCGATTTCGACGGCTTGACCGGCCTGCCCTTATTTCGACGGGTTCTGGCTGCTGTCAATCCTTCCTCCGTGGCTGTCACGAAACCATGACCCTCTGTACTCTTGACCTGCCCAGCGAGCGAAGCACCAGCACGCCCTTTCTGGTATTGGCGCCTGCCGCTATGCGTCTTGTGGCGCTGCAACTTACCCCATCCAAATTAGAGGGAAGTGGACTGGGCTTCAACCTCTATGTAGTCAAACAAGGAAAACGTATTGATCAGGCACTACCAGCATTAATGTACGCAGATGATATAGTGATAATGGCCAACAACAAGGAATATTTGCAGAGATTGACGGACATCTGTGGTAATGAGGAAGATAGGTTACATTTTAGATTCGGTAAGGAAAAATCAGCAGTCATGATTTTCAATGACAACGAAGGTAGTGAGCTTAGAATACAGGAGGTCACGCTAGAGATAACAGATAAATACAAATATCTGGGCGTATGGATAAGCAATGGGACCGAGTACCTGAGGGAACACGAAATATACGTGACGACTAAAGGTAACAGGAATGCAGCAGTGATGAAAAATGGGGCACTGTGGAATCACAATAGGTATGATGTTGTGAGAGGAATATGGAAAGGGGTCATGGTTCCTGGTCTGACGTTCGGCAATGCGGTCTTGTGCATGAGATCAGAAGTTCAAGCAAGATTAGAAATTAAGCAACGTGGAATAGGTAGGCTTGCTTTGGGAGCTCACGGGAATACACCAAATCAGGGAGTACAAGGTGATATGGGATGGACATCATTTGAGGGCAGGGAAGCTAGCAGCAAGATAAAATTTGAGAAGCGATTGAGAGAAATGGGGAAGGAGCGTTGGGCTAGGAAGGTTTTCAGCTACTTGTACATGAAGAATGTCGATACAAAATGGAGGAAGCGAACCAGGAAATTGACTGGTAAATACTTAGAAAACAGCAGGTGGCCAAACCAAAAAGAACTATCAGTTAAGAAGAAAGTGAAGGAAACGGAGACTGACATGTGGAGAATGGGCATGATTAAGAAGTCCGCACTAGAGATCTATCGAACTTTTAAGCAGGAAATTGTCAAGGAAAGGATCTATGATAATACTCGGGGTAGTTCTCTACTGTTTGAGGCCAGGACGGGAGTATTGCGAACCAAGACATATCGGGCCAAATACGAAGGGGTAGACACAGTATGCAGTGCGTGTGGAGAGGAAGAAGAAACTGCCGAACACTTGATAATGTTCTGTAAAGGGCTTCACCCCATAGTTCAAGATGATGGCGCAGAGTTTTTCAAAGCAGTGGGGTTTAGGGACCGGGAGGGCAAAATAGACTTTAAGCGGGTAGAGTTAACTAGAAGGAGGTTATCTGATTGGTGGCTAAAGTCAAGGCACGAGTGAAAATTCAACTCTTCACTGCAAAGTACGAATCCTCAAACTCACTTTTTAAAGAAAAAAAAATAAATCTAGTTTTTGGTTTATTAAGTATTACGGCTTAGTGGCGCTAGCCACCGCCCGATCTAAAGGGTGCAGCCATATCTGTCCATCCATCCATCCGCACCGGTTGCTGGTGCGGTGTTTGCTACCGTCTCCTCGTGCCGAGCTGCGACAGAAGCGTGCAGGTAGGTGGAGTTAGTACACCAGCGAAACGAGGTTTCTTGGTGCAAATGAACCATCACGATGGTGTGTGCTGCGTGCCTTTCTGCGAATCAAGGCAAGGGAAGACTTCTTATGTGACTTTTCATGAGTTTCCAGTGATCGAGGTTGGTGAAAAATGGATCAAGGTGATTTCTAGAAAGGGTAAGTCTGCTCAATAAGGCGTTGTCTGGCATGCTGAAAATGTAATATGGGTTGTAAATGACTACGTGTCTTTAAAAGAGTGAGTTGCTGGGCTGGTTGGTGGTGCATGACAGACTGAGACGCATATTAGCGCAAAAAAATAAAAAAATAAACCAACAACATCAAGAAAGTAAATGACGACGTGCTATACTCACAACTGTTTATCAGCAAAAAAAAGAGAAAAGATGGCAAGACTGCACATATGGAAGCCATGTCACTCCATGTGGTTATGCAACTAGGTTTTCAAACACACCCATTGTGGGAAGAAGCAGCTTCTTCGAGATTGCTTTGGTAGTTTAATTACATTACCAAAGAGTGCAGAGATCGTTGCATAAGTGAATATTTATCCTCTGTCGCTTAATTAGTTCGACCTCGAACTTGAATTTATGTGCTACCGCGTATGATATAAACATGTTAGTTTACCCGTCTACGCGCATGCATGACAAAAGAACATATACGTGAAAACTTTTTTCCTAATGAAAAGTTGTGAGTAGCATGTGTCCTTGTCTTCCTTCTTGTCGTTTTATTTAGTGCTAATGTATCTCAGCCAGTTACGTGTGTCACATGGTTAACGAGGTGAAGTCATACGCTCACTTCATAACTGTGTTTTATTCACTTCGCCACCATGGTATAAACTTCTAATTGCATGATATACTCCTTAGAAAAGAACAAGAAATTTTGTATTTTATTCACAATATTTCACTGAATGTTCATCTTCTTCCTTTCAAGGGGCTGGCAATGAAGTTTGGCTCCCAAATGACAGGTCGAAGGTGTGCAGTGTGCAGTTTGCTCCAACCGACAATAAGCCGGGACTAAAGATAAAAAGAATGAAAGCGAATGCTGTGCCGTCAGTGTTTCCACACTATCCAAAGTACATGGTGCCGCCCGTGGCGAAAGTCTGCCGCACCTTGAAACGTCCAAATGTTCAGGAACATGGACCCTGCCCAAAGAAAAAAAGTGACTAACAATGTTTAATGCTTGACGTCTCCCCACGGCTCTTGCATACGAATTGGACCAATGAAAACGAGTTTCAAGGAAAGGTGTATAACAGAACACAATTTTTTAATGCAGGAAGAAAGCAGGTTCAGCCCCGGCGCGAAGCAGAGCTTGACATCAAGCGACATATGTCATCAGCACCATCCGCAAACACAACTTCGGGACCATCCTCAGACTTTATGCACCCTCTCACCGAATTTGAACGCACAGAACCATCTGAAACTGCACCTGGCGACAAAGTAAAAAAAAAAAAGATCGACCGACGCTCATTGACCACGCAAACAACTATAACCAGCCAGAAGATGCGCCGTGTGATGAATTCCGCAAAATCATCGCACCGGAAATGCCAAACCATGGCAAGGAATAATGCTGAATTAAAAGCGCAAATAGCCAAGCTGAACCGTGAAGTTGCAGAGGTTAATCTGCTCTCCAAAAGAGCAAACGCTGCAGTCTTGCAGGTAAAGTTATTTGCTGTTGTTGTTTGCTGTTTCGTTTCAAAACAGTTGCAGAGTGTTTTTTATTGATTATTCATGTACCTGCGATCTACATTTGCCATTTGAGACGAAGGTATTTATGCGCAAAATTGTCTGTATTGGGTTGTTTTCTATGCGCGCTGGATGCCACTGTCAAATGTCATAGTCCTTGCACTTTCTTGTCCAGACAGTAAATTCAATCGAGCTGAGTGTGTGACAACAAGTCTACCAATGTATACACGTACAGCCGGTATCATGAGTTAAATAAACATTTGGTGGGCCAGCACTTCTTACAACCTGTCTCTGTCATCGTTCTTTCTTGTTTTGCACGATGATACATGTTTTTGTATCTTAATTGTGGTTTCATTTGAAAAATAATGCTCTGAAATGTCATGTAGAATGCAAAAGAAGATTCTTAAAGTCACATAAAATAAAATGATTCAAGATACCCGTCACATTTACTCAAACCGTGATGAAACTCTTCTCAAACCGGCGGCAACCCATGCATTTCTAGGCATCCACCGGCGCTCAGCTGGGGTAACTCGAGCGCCCCTATGCGGCGAAGTTCGGAATCCGAGCCGGCGCAGGCAGCTTCGTAGACCGCCGCCAGCTGGGCAGGTCAGGAATACAGAAGGTCGTGCACGAAACAAACGAAAGATCTCCAACATGTCCGACGCTTGCCGCTGACCGTTACGGTGAGAGCAAAAAAAAAAACCTTGTTTTTTTTGCTGCCAGCGAATTCGTATCCTGAAAATTGCTACTTATTGTGTCATAACGGTTTTTACTGTAGTTACGTTACAGTTGATGACGTCACGTCACTGACGTGTACGCGCACCGCCGTCTCGACGTTGGCTGACTACTGCGTGGAAGCAGAGTTAAATCAGCTGCATGAAAATTTTGATAGTGAAGCTCTTGTAAGGCATAAGAAAATCCAACACCACAGAGTTTCTTTTAAATACTTGCGATTTGCACAATGTGCTGGAAAAAATCCTAAACAAATCTTTTGCGATTTGCACAATGTGCTGGAAAAAATCCTAAACAAATCTATTCTCATCATCATCATCAATAGATATGGGGTCTTGCTTTCGAGCTATTTCCATGGAGACAGGAAACAAGACGTACTTTGTTCTCGAGGTGAAGTAGCGTGCTAGGTTCGTCGCCAGCAAGCTCGTGATCGAACCAAACGTAACGATATTATTTGCAGCTGTAAAGAGCTCATGCCTAGTGCCTTCTTCGCTATCTGGCCGCTGTAACCAAGGTGCGACGCGGCTTTCCATGGATCCGAGTCGTGAGGTTCAGCTGAGAAAACTGAAGTCCTTGATACGAAGCAGTGAAGCACAGTTAACAGCCGTACTAGAGAAACTGAAATGGTCGAAGGACGAGGTCCTCAAAAAGGTACGCATGGCATTGAATAACTGGATTTTTAATTTGGGATCGGGATTTTATTTCTGCGTCTTGAGAGGTGATTGAGTGATTAATAACAGGTCGTTCTAATTGTGGTGGCGTTTGCATTTTTTATTCTAGAAGGGATACGTCGTGTGCCCTCTAGATTCGGGGCACACAATGCCCGAGGCATCGCTAAGCGCCCACCTTGACCTATGTGCTTGGCTCAAGGAGGGATATACCAGACAAGATAAGGTGAGCGTTAATAGTTGGAGTGTAGTGGACTTTTCCAAACAAGGACATGGATGACCGAAAAACCGCGAATAATATGCGTGTGTTGGTGTGTACCCACGCGCACACATACGGCTTGTATTATATACACATTTATGCATGAGCATGCATGCATATCTGACCTTCCCCGCCACTGTTTACTCATAGGTGAACTACTCATCGCGTGGCATTTGAAATGAGTTTGAATGAAAGTGTGCAGGCACTTCTTGGTTGATTGATGTGTGGGGTTTAACGTCCCAAAATCGCTATATGATCATGAGAGACGCCGTAGTGGAGGGCTCCCGAAATTTCGACCACCTTGGGTTCTTTATTGTGCACCCAAATATGAGTGCACGGGCCTACAGCACTTTCGCCTCCATCGAAAATGCAGCCGTCGTAGCCGGGATTCGATCCCGAGACCTGCGGGTTAGCAGCCGAGTACCTTAGCCACTAGATCACCGCGGCGGGGCGTGCTGGCACTTCTCATTCAAGCAGTGTAGCCACGGCTTGCAGAATCGAATCTTGTGCAAACACATAAAACTTCGGTTTTGTCAGTATGTGCGTACGTGCTGGCATCCTTATGAAATAGAAATGCCTTTCAAAGGCTCTCTTACACATTAACAACTTAGACTCACAGATAGCATGAAATCATGACATGGTTGTAATGTCTTCAGCATCAAGGCATAAATCACAGAATCATGTAACTTGACCTTCTTTGTGTTTCCTCACCAAAAATTAATGTTGGTCCTGCAGATGTTTCAAAAGCTGCTATTGAGTCGCTGGCAACTTATGCTGACACTGTGGGTATATGACCACCTCTGAGGCCTATTTAATACAAAGTTTTTTAAGCTCATTAAGAATTTTTCTGTGTCCTTCGAAATACCATTTAACCGACTTGTGCATCCCGAAAGGACTTCTTTTTTGAGCGAGTTGATGCCTAAATTGTTTAGGTACACTTTGGCGCATAACACATTTCGTGATACAAGAGGAGAAAAAAGAAGAAAGTCAAATGTCGAATTTTTCGTGAATTGCTTCACTTTGCCCTCTTCTCTCCCCCCTTTTGACAAAATGTATATTGTGTCATTGTCAAGTGTACATAAGCAACTTGTGCATGTGTGGTCGTGTTTTGTCGTGCCTCCACTTTGGTAGGTATTATACAGTGTGGGAAAAAAAAGGCTGTATGAGGAAACATTGTATTGCTCAGCACTGATTCATGCCTCCTTTTAGTTCCATTGAATGTCTCTGTGCAGCACATATACCAAGAAAAAGCTTTTAATATTGTTAATACTTCACAGCTATACGCTTTTCTATATTTCCTTGCTGCGCCGTGTGTTTCTGCATCCTAAAGAAGTCAGCAGCAGAACTTCTAGTCGTCACATGCAGTAGCCACGTGACCTGGGCAGAAACGCCCCTCGTGACATCATCGCTTGAGCGGCACGACGCTGTCAACTATGGTTTTGGCTATAGTAATGCTGGCAAAGTAGTAAAGACCACTAATCGGCACAGCATAAGTTAGTGGTGCCTTGAAATGGGCCAACTATTGACAATGGCAAAAAATGTCTGCCATGGTTATGGTGACCGACTGCGCACCCAAAATTTGCGAGATCGAACACTGGCCGCGGCGGCTGCATTTTTGATGGTGGTGATAAATGCTAAAGGCCTGTGTGCTTAGATTTTGGCGCACGTTAAAGAACGCCAGGGAGTTCTCTGCTAAGGTGACTCTCATAAGCATAATGTGGTTTTGGGGCGTCAAACCATAAAAATCATTATTACGCTGGCAAAGTGGCCATACTTATCCATCGTCACACAGAAACTTGCCCTTTTACTCAAGTTTTTGCAGAATTATATGGGACATACCTGGTCTCTTACATGTGATGGCGACTGGAAGTTTTGCAGCTGCATTCTTTAGAGTAAGAAAACACACTGCAGATACATTATGAATACAGTGGAAGTGGGTGATATTTCTGCAAGTGTTTCTGTTGTCATATTGGCCATACGATTTGCTAACCTGTTTGTTCTGTGTTAAATGCAGGAGGCTGCCCCTCCAAGTTCGCACTTCTTTTATACAAAGTCCACGTCAGTTGTTCCTGTGTTAATAGGTAAGGTGCTGTGTGGTGTGGCCTGAATGAATCGGCCTCTAAACCTTTTTTCATCCTTCATTGCAGACAGAGAAACCCAGAACAAGATAATAACTGATGCAGCATTCAGGGGAGATGTTCCAGGTAAGCTATTATACGAAAGGAAAGAGACGAGAGAAATTTCCTTAACATATCAAATACAAATTGTGACCCCACCCCCATTTTTTTCATCAACAATTCTTGTCTAGTGCCCCAGCAACCGCTCTCCTTAAAGGGGCCGCACAACACATTTCAATGTAATATAGAAGGAACTCACTATGAAAGTTCATTGTTTCATAAATCAATCGCCGCAAAAATTTTTAATATCTGTTGAAGTGTGAGTGGAGTTAAATGATCTGTGATGTGCTTTAGGAACTTTCTTTTCTTTTGCCCGGTGAACATGCTTAAAGCATTGAGGATAAAAAAGGGAAAGAAGCTACGTCATTTCGCTAACTATGTAGCGCAAGAATGCCCAAATAAGCCAGTGGCTGTGTCCTTCCCAAGCGTGCGTAGTTGGGCCCATTGATGATTTAATTATTTGGGAGGAAAGTGAGAAATTTCTGTCTTGTAAACACGCTGCTATAAAATTTGGTCATGATATTTGGCTCATCTATTTACAGAAGCTTTAACTACCGATTGGCAGCGTTTTCCGACTGTGATAAAAAAAAAAGAAAATGTTGCAGAGTCCTTTAAACAAACTGTTCTGTTGATTTGATATAGCCCTCTTAATGTTGTGATTAGGCTGTCAACTATGTTAATCAGCTGGCAGCTGACCAAAGTGCTTTAACGTTACTATAACAGTAGAAACCAAATTTGCTTCTGTACTGATAAATGAGAAGTAAATGTATAAAACGACATGAAAGTAGGGGAAGTGATATTCTGTAGACAGGAGTGTACTTAAAGAATGTGTATATATTTGCTAATGTTTGATAGATAAGATTAATAATTATATAATTACTAGTGTTTTATGTCCCAAAATCACAACACGATTATGCCTTAGGGAGGTAAGGGATGCCGTAGCGGAGGGCTCTGGAAATTTTGACCGTCTGATGTCAATTGGGATTTTCCAGAAAAAAATTTTCATTTCAAGTTACAATTTACCAGCATATATATATTGTAATGCCTAGTTGATACAAAATTTTTTCACTTTTGTTTGGATACTTTTTAATAAAAAACAATGAAATGTGTTGAACAACAGGGATTTCCTAAATGCCATTTTACTTCATATCCTGTTATCATATTAGGCCACGAGAATTCACTGGGAGCATGCCTGTAATTCGTGTATATGAAAAAAAAGCTAACAAGATTAATGCAAGAAGAAACCTCCGTTAACATGCTGTAATTTAATTTAGCTGTGCAGTTTTTTCTTTTTCTGATAGTGTACATCAGTCATGTTTATGGTTCTGTTTTTAGCAAATCATATTAACAGTGCAGATTATTTTCAGCTCATCTTGCCTCTGCTGTGGCCACCATAATGATGCTCTTTGGGGCAAGACTTGTGTATCCTCGCTTAAGGATATCCTTTTATTCTTTAGTAAATGGTACCTTTTTGAAGCTTAACGCTAGTACTGTAATGAAAACATGCATCATACATGCCTTTGTTGGACTTATCCAGAGCTGTGTCTTACATTCTGTGTTATCGCAGTTTGTGAAACTTCTTGTCCAGCATTTTTCAGTGATAAAATTAGGTTAAGATCAGCACCATCAGAAACAGCAAATGCATATATTTAAAGCAATGGAGAAAGCTGATAGAATAATAAACCTGTAGCACAGGATTTTTCCTGAGCTCAAATTATGTGTGTTTTGCCATACTAGAGCAAGGACTGTACTGTATCGTTGCATTTTGTGCAGATTCTCTAATAAGTATTTTGAGAACTGCTGTATTGGTATGTACTGATAACTGGCCTCAGGTATGCATTTCCACTAAAGCAGCAAGTTCTGTTAGTGATAATGAGAAATGATCTTTGTAAATTTGTAGCATGTTTAGCTTAGTGCCAAAGAATGTAAGTCCTTTATCTCTGCTTCTTAGCTTTTAAAAATTAGTGAGCTATATATAGTGACCTACACCATTTCAAATGAAACTGCTTTCATATGTGGCACAGATGTCCACCGTGCCTTTCGGCCGCAGTTTCTGATTGCTGCTGATCATTGGGTTGATTGTTCTTGACATAATAACACTGCTTGTGCACTGTAAACAGCCGAAGTTTGCCAGAAGGTGAAGAGTGGTGTGCCACTGACAATGGAGCATTGCTTTTCGGAGCTCACTGCTGCAGAGAGGTTTGCAGTCTACGATTATGTGGTTGAGCGAGCAAAAGCAACAAACAAGACATCTGCTGTGAAGCTTGAGGACCTTCAAGTCGACTTTGAAAAAAAGACCAACAAAGGTAGGCTAGTTAGGTGTGACCTTTGGTGTGAAATGAAAGGCTAGTTTGTTAATATTGACTTGGTTTTCTGTGCAATGAAGGTTATTGTTGGATGATATTCTTGCTTAGAAGAAACATGTGTCCTAAAGCTCTTTTAGATTTTTTGTACCAAATTTTATTAAAGTTAGCATGTTTGTTTGGTTTCTTTTGATTTTATAGATCCAGTTATTTCTTCATAGATTCTTTATTATGTTATATAGTTATAATTGTCCTTTGTTCTTACCTCAATAAGCCATAACCACATCACAAAAATATAAAAATAATATATGCATTCATAGCAGAAAGAAGAAGGCTTCAACAAAGAAAGCCCCTTTATGATCACACCATCTCTTCTTACTTTACACCAGTACATTAAACTTCATTAAATTAATATGTGTCCACATAGTCTCCCTACAAAAAGCAAATTTTAAATGCTTATAACAGGAATGAATAAAATCTCCTTGCTATGAAATATGCTCCCGACCCTTAGCTTCGTGCTGTAACAAATATTGTTCATCTATTTGTGATAGCCACTTATATAGTGCTGTAAATGTATTGCAGATTCTAAAAATGCTATTTGTGAAAAATCATTTTTCCCATCATGTTTTTTTTTTATTCTGAAGACCCATGTCTTCACTTGAACTAGGTCAACAGATTAGTTACAGATGATATGGACATATATGCTTGCAGACATACACACCAATATACTGTTTTTTGTTAACTATATAGACAGTATGACAGCTAGAAATGAGGTTCACACGAGCACGTCTTGACATAACTATGCATGAAATCTGGACAGATCGCAGTTTTATCCTTCCACAATCTCAGTTTGCTTTTGTCATGTTCTGTCTTGTTGAATCTGGTTTTAAAGAGCTAGCATGGAGACCATAAATTAGTTCATTATATTCTATATTAATTGTAACAGTAGAGATAAAAATCAGCTCTAATAAATTGGCTATCTAACTTGCAGGAGAATATTGATATAAAAATGTGTTATTCTAGGCTTCAAACCAACTGTAAGTGAATCTTCAGAATTTGCTTGTTCGGCTCTTATGTCTTAGGTAATGCAACCAATCAAATGTGCTTTATTTTTTTTGCTGGATTACCAAAAATTTGTAAACATCTTTAACCACATTAGTTCACAGGATTTTATTGTCACAGCCATTGAAAAAAAACATGGTTTGGATCATCTCTTGATATTTATTTTGCTATTTATGTTACCTTTCTAGTTTTGAGCCGTGCATGGCTTGTATATTTCTTTGTTACAGCCTATATTACAGTGGCTCTCGCGTTTTTCATTTCGTAAATAATATATATCATTGTGAAATTAAATGTGACTAATAAATGTTCTTATTTATAGGAAGAATAAATCTTCTCTGCATTTATTTTGCTATATCCGATAATTTGTTATATCGGTGTTCATGGTAACAAGGTTCAACTGTATAAGCTTGGTTTTCTACCCATGGAAATTTGAGCATCACTTCCTTGTTTACCATGACGTCGTCATTAGCACGTGTTAAAGGCAAAGCTTAGGTGTCTTTGAACTTTTTGCTTGAGTAGACATGCTAAATTTAATTCTGCTTCTGTCCAGCAAATGTTTTGTAGCTATTATCAGGTAATATTAGTGAAAATGAGTGAGTGGAAATCAGCTGGGAACAGGAAAAAGTTTTAGGACACCTGCTGTTGCATTATATGCATGGTGTGTTGCAATTTTCAGATGAGCAACAGCCGCCCAGTGAATTAGAGTTGAAGCGTCAGATGCGAGACTACAAGCGTCGAAGGCAATCTTATCGTGCAAAAAATGTCCACATCACGCAGAAGACGTACACGGAGGTAAATGTGATGTTCCCTTCTTAAACCTACGAAAATTCAATACAGATAGTGAAAGTTTACAGTAGCATCTACTTTATCAGCTCAAATAAATAACTTAAAGAATTGAAGAGGTTTTAGAATTTGTTAAAACTTCGTGGTTAGCAAGGAGCGACAACATTGTCAATGATGACAGTTTTTTTCCATAGTTGTGGCAGCAGGAGCTTTAATATATGCGAAAGAAGAGTTTGTCTTGCTCTTCCCCCCTCCCCCCCAGGCACACCAAAACTGTGGGCGTAGACACCTATGTCACTTTCGTTTCCTCTAGCGAAGCCGTTCTGCACTCCGATATAAGGTACGGCTGCTCACTAGGTATGTTTAGTGGGGTGTCGCTCATATTCGACCATGAAAACATGTAGCGTATTGAGGCAGTGCTAGGAAGTGTATAGACCGCGACCCGACAAAACGAGCGCACCTTGTCAAGATGCGGTCTGCTTGTCTGCAAAACGATGGCGAAAGCAAGTGGACACACCTCCATCTTCTGCTCATTTGACTTCAAAAGTGGAATGAGAAATGCATTCTACATTCCCTGTGTTACGTGAGCAAGCGCCTGTCATATTTTCAACCATTGCCTCTGTGACGGACTCATGACGTGCTGCTGCTGTTGCAGATAATTCGGCACACCAAGAGCGATGTCACCCGTTCATAGAGTTTGCTATAAGTACACTTGCCCTTGGTCGTCAACTCATTATTCCTTGTTCACAATGACAGCTTGTCATCTTGCCTTTTCAGATCCTCAAAGAGGTGATTGAAAATCAGACAGAGTATCTCAAACAACTTCAAACAGGAAACGACAAGGCAGAAGATGCTTTGGCAAGGTAATGACTGTTAGAATTTATGCTATAAGCTTTTTTATGTACAGTTCCCTCGCTGTTTGCTTTTGAAATTAGAATTTTGGAGGCAATGGCTGCCCATGATTGCTATGGTGCATTGTACATTTGTTTTTAGAGGCTTTTATTGCCATGAAACATAGTTATTGTGTCATATTTGAATTCGTAATGGGCGCTGGATCACTTTTATACTTCAACCCACTGCTAAAGCTGCGGCAAAGCTCGGGTCCTAGGTCAATATTATGAGTAGTCTAAGTGAATTACACATGAACTGAACTCACTGGAACAGGAAGTACTAGTAAGCTGGGTGATCATTTCGGATTGTAATTTTTATCGAGTTGTGGAAAATTTCTGCATGTCATTCTTTCATTTTTAATGAGCTCTGTGTTTATATGTCTTCCCAGAATGCATGGTTGTGCACTTTATTCTTTTTTGCATGGCCAAATGAAAGATACCCTCATGAAAAACCTTGTTCAATTCAATAAAAAGGTGACAAATTATTCAATGGTTTTTCTGCAAAGTTGCCTGGTGATTGGCAGCTTTTCAGGTTAAATTTAACCACAAAGTTAGTAAAACGTTTGAAATCAACCTTAAAATGTTTAAGGTTAAAATGCTAAAAGCCTTTTGGCAGCTGCTGTTGTCGTTAACCACATTTGGTCAGGTTTTTTATTTCTCTCTAAAGCTTATCTATTTTTGAATGATAACCTATTTTTCTGCACTCATCACATTGATAAATAAGGCTGTAATGCTGCATCTTCTGCATATGTCTATTGCCGCCTGGCTTTTAATAGTGTCGCGGATATTAAGATCAGTGGTAGGCAACAATCACAGTATGGTGACTGCAAGTCTGCAATCTGTTTTTTCGAGGTGATGCCGCGGGCACTCTGTCCTTCCCTAGCAGAAAAGTCGCGAAACGACTCCTGGTCTCAGAGGCATTTGTTGTAGCAATGCCAGTTTTTCCAGCCCCTACCAAAACGCCAGAAGGTAGCGCAGGAAAATGGAAAAGACAGATTGCATTAAACTTGCCAGAATGCATGTTCAGTGCAGTTGACGATTTTGAGTGATGGTGGCTGTCAGAAGTGTGTTATTGTAGTTTTTGAAAGTGATAACCAAGGAACTTGACTGTAAGACTGCCGAACAGCTGCTTTCTCAGAGTCTAAAAGTCATTAAAAATGTTGCAAACTAAAATGTTGACGAGGTTCTGTTATGTAAAAATCTGCTCAAGGAAGAGAGAGAGAGAAAAAAAAAAAAAACTCGCCACCATTACTTGGTGCAGCTGAGAATGAACTCCCTGAGGGTCTCTTTTTAGCAACTTCCAGGGAGCTACTTCCAGGTTTTTTGTGAGAATGTGCATTTATTTTGTTCATTTCAGACCTGAAGAAAAGGATGATACTGAAAGGCAGCCATTGTCCCGTGCATCAGAGAGGAGGGATAGGAGAGAGTCATCTGTGGTGTCATCAAGGTCATCCAAACGCAGGCGCAGTCGTAGCCCTGATAAAAGAGATGCCAGCATAGAGAGGAGGCCTTCAGATGAAGCCCACAGGAGACGCCGGTTAGTGTGTGCATTTGTACTCTCCCAGCGCATATGAAAATTTTTGCACTGAGGGCATAATTCATTATGAAGGAAGCCTTAATTTTAAATGTGGTTATACTTGTTCAAATTATATACAATTTTGCAGGATTTTTTAATATATGGCACATAGTTTACCAGAGAATAAATATGCACTTGATAAAGGTACTGACAACCAATTCTTGTAGTAAGTGCAGGAAAGCTTACTGGCCATAGTGCCCAATTGTGGAATGGTTATGTAGGAAATGCTGAGAAATGGCTATACGCTTTATTAGAATGTTTTTATCAGCAGTGCCGAAGAAGTGCACGCAAGTTCCAAAATACACATACAAGCAGTGCTGGTTGAGTGTGATAGCGTGCAAACAAGTCAGGCCCCGTCAATCAAACCTGGCTTCGGATGGTTCATGTTAGCTCAGTGCAGTATGCCACGCAAGTGTGCACTTAACATGGGTTTACTCTTCCACTAGTTGATGTGAAGGCAGCTTTGTTTCTCAGCATCAAGTCTTTTTACCTCGTAATAAGCTTAAAATGAAGTGGGTATGCTTAGTAATATGCATGCTGTAATTTTAAGCACGAATTATAGGTTCATCTGAACGACAGGAGAGTATGTGCATCTATCCAAATGACCAACGCTTGTTCACCAGGCATGCTAGTTTTTGAGACTTTCAAACTTGTTTTAAAAATCAAATCCTTTTCATATTATGAAAAGAATATACAATGCTATTGGTAACAATTCATGGTTTTTAAATTTTAACTTGAATTGCATTACACATTCTGGCCGGTTGTCAGTCCCCTTAAAATTCTGTGAACAATTGAATATATGCAGACCACGCAGAACGAACTGCAAAGCATCTGTGATAATTTTCTTACTGAAATGTATACCATAACAAACATTTTTATACCTGCAGGTCAGCAGAGCGTCATGAGCACAAGAAGCATCATCGGTCTCATCACAAGAGTAAACACAAGCATAAACACAAATCAAAAGACAGTGAAGCCTCTGAGTAGCTCCATTTTTATTTCTTGTGCTTGAATAAATTTGCATTTCTCCAGTGACACACTCCGTCTTTTCAGGATTTTTCATAATTTAAAACACTTCCATTGTCCTCTGAACTTCTACTTTGCTTGTATTGTTTATGTAGTACACGACGCCACTAAGAAGAAAGTATTGTCACAGTATGTGCAGTATTGGCAGTACTGTTCCATATTCACCACCATAGCTACGATAACCATTGGCTCTTTTCAATAAGCATTGGCTACTACTGCTCACAATGTTAAATATTGTGCAGCCAACCACAAAAGTTTACTGACCACGTGAGTAGTGCTAAACTGCCTGTCCACGCCACTTAGCAGTGCGCCACCAAACGTCAGCCAGAGTGCTGGCCCAGAAGTGGGTCTTGCTATTCACTGGTATATTAATTTTCTACTGGCATGCAGTGCGGTGCTAGTTTGTTGTTTTTATGCAAAGCGCTAATATGAAATGTGAACATCATATATTTGGGCTGTAGAATCGAACCTATTAGATCGTGCTCCAAAAGGTGCGCCATTGGGTTGCTATCACTTAGTGTGAAAAATTGTCGCTGATAGCACTTATGCTGATAGACTGCTTGCAAAACAGAAGCACGTAGTCACGGCTGCCACAGAGTGCATTGCGTAAAGTAAGTGAAAGGTGGAAAATATTTTTGCCAAGTGATAAACAGGCCTTCGAATAAGGGAGGAAATTCGTTTTGGGTGTAGCGCTGCTGTCAAATGTCATCGGCGTAATAGAAATGTCGCCAACAGCTTCTTGGCCAGGCTCTCGCATGGTTCGTAAACTTTTGTGGTTGACTGTCATTCTCGCGAAAGCACAACTGTTCGAATCAATTAATGATGTGCATCACTGTTTATTGCTTGAACCGAACTGATCGTTGTATTTGCCGACTTCGCGAAGTTTTTGACAAGGTTCTTGCGGCTTATTTATAAACTTGCACATCTTAACATAAATACAATTGCTTAGTGGATTTTAAAGTGCCAATATTTCTTCGTCAATGACCATTTCTTTCCGTTAATTCACGTCAAATCTGGTGTACTGCAGGGTTCCGTGCTAGGGCCTATCTTGTTTTTAGTTTATATTAACAATGTCAGTTACGGTATGCATTCCATAGTTCGGTTATTTGTGGATGACTGCGTGATTTTCGGACAAATTACTAACCCTCGAGATACTCGCCAACCTTGAAAATCTGCCTGACATAGAAAATCTCAGTAAGCGGTGTAATAAGTTGCAAATGCAAATTAACATAAAGGAAACAGAAGCTATCAGGTTCGAGACAAGGTCAGCCCTGTGTTTACAACTACGCATTGAACATTATACTCATAGATTCGATACCTTGGTGTTCATGCCTGTCATGGAACGCTCATATAGACGTAACTGTTAGTAAAGCAACCTGGTCACAGCTTTATAAGGCGAAATTTGCATCTGGCGAACTCGAAGACTAAACTTCTTGTCTATAAGACCTTAGTACGCTCACAAATTGAATAGTACACTTCCTTAATCTGGAATATGCATTAGGGCTACCTCAAACGGAAACTAGAATCTACATAATAAGGCTGCCCGCTTCTTCACAAAAAATTACTTGCGAATATCAAGCACAATTGATATCAAATCCTTACTAAATTTAGCTTCTCTACCAAAGTGCAGGTTGCTAGCACTATTGTACTTTTTCATAAGCTTCACTACAATCACTTGTCCTTGATAGTACATTCAATATGAGGCCAGCTCATCGTACATTCACAATTCGGATCATCAGCATAAAGCTGAACCAATTTTCACCTGTACCAATCTGTTCATTACATTATAGTTCGTTTTAAATTGTTGTTTTTAAGCATGAAATATGGTAATTATTAAAAAATTCGCACCGATACTTTGGCATGCCACATCAACGTGGCGGAAATTTCAATGCACATTTTTCATTCATTGGCAACTGTTGTTCGAATTTAGACAAGGCCAGTAATTTTTCTTTCTATGATCAACTACACGGTCAATTAATGACTTCTCGCCACGCACCCCATTTCTCCTCCCTCTCATCCACTCAATGTTTTTGTTTTTTTAAGAGCGTCTCTTGAAATTAAAAGTGTGTGCATGCAAACACAGATACAAAAGGGAAGTCAAGACATTCATGACTTCTCTCTCACTTTCTTTTTTGGTCCACCGCAGTGCCCTCGGTGTAAATAAGGGAAATAAACGTGGTTTCATTAATTCATTCTTTTTTACATGCACAGTTTTTGAGGCATAACTACCTAGAGCTAGCTCAGCTCTCTTTTTTAAGTCTTTCATGATATAGCCACTCAAAAATCTCGCTTGACTTTACTTTTTTGTCAGTGAACACTCCTAGATGTCTACGTGCCCTGTATTATTATAGTTATCATTATTATTATTTTTATTATAGTAGAAACAGACTTACATGCAAAAAAATATTGCAGAAGGAGCAGGCTGGCAAATGCCATCTAAAGGGGCACAACACCTGCCCACTTTATTGAGAAGAAGAGAGAATAGGAACAGGATATGGAATAGGAAATGACAAAATTACAGTAGAAACAAGCAAAAGTGATGTAGGAACACACACAACAATAAAGCGTGCATAGAAAAGTTTTACAAAGGGGAGATAGAAGCAACCAAAGGCAGGAAGGTTAGCCAGTCCGTGTCCAGTTTGCTGCCCTGCACTAGGGGAGACAGTAAATAGGGCGAAAAGAGAGACAGATGAGAGAGGTAACAGAATAGCATGCACAATCTAGGTGAGTGCATGAAGCCTACATTTAATGTTGACAGGTCGCTCGGATCATTCGACATTAAATGAGCCGTGCAACCAGTGGCGTACCAACTCTTTCACGAGTGGGGGGGGCAAGCTTACCCCACTCGTCAGCCGCGATATATATATATATATATATATATATATATATATATATATATAAAGAACACACAAGGAAATTGTAAGAATATAATTGAGTGATCACTGTTGTGATGGAAAACTACCCCTTGATTGTTGGTTTTCCCAGCGTGTAGTAAACAGTGACGACTGTCGAAAGTGGTGAAGCTCGTGCCACCCTTGCCGCCCACCCCTCCCCCGGCTGATATGCCTATGCCTGCAATGCTTTTTGAGCATGGTCAAAAAACGCCGCCGACTAGCAGTTGAGGCTCCCCAGTACATGCGAGCTAAACAAACCGCAGGGCGCGACCCGGAATTCACAATTAATTCTCAGAGTCAGCTAAACATCGCTCTCTTGTCTCTCTGCAAATTATTTCATACAGCCAAATTATTGCACCATATACACAAGGTCACCGGCACTACGGCTGATTTGAGTATTTTGACCTCAAAAGTTACCGTGATCTATGTCACTGTGTGCCTGCACACACGATCATACTCAGCCACGCATTCGAAAAAAAAAATTGCTCGTGTATCTCCGTGCTTTGCTGCAAAGGACGTCGAAAGTCTTCTGTCTGGAAGCCCTACACGAGATGTGGCGCCATCTGATGTGTAGAAATGAGTTCTTTTTTTTAAAACGCAGAGCAACTGCTACCTGGCAGCACCGGGCCTGTTTAGTTAGAGTAAGTGTATATGCTATACAGGGACTCTAGTTTTATTGGTTGAAGCCCCTGAATTTTTTAGCCACGCGTAAATAAACACCCGCTTTTTTGTTTAAAGCGTCACATTGTCAGTGCAGCATTGCCAGCACACTTTAGTCTTTAGAATTACGTATGTCTGTATTTTAAAAATAAAAGGACGCACTGCCTAACACTTGTGTCTTAATGTGGCACCACAAATATGCAAAATATTTGTTTTTTTATTCGCAGTGGTCACAAGTATGAACGCAGCCACCAGATCAAGATGGGTGGGCATTGAGCAAAGGGTTAAAATTTCGCCAGCTGGCTGAATCATTGGACAAACACCAACAGGCAGATGAAACTTTCGTGTTGAGGTATTATAGTCTTTAAAAAAGAAGAAAAAGAAAGCGCTCATGGTTGTGATGCACGCTCTCACAAAGGGCCTCGTCTTCCCACTTGTAACTGTAACTAACTATGTAACAATCGCAAGTGAGAAAACTGTTGCAGGGCACCTTTAATCAAGTATTTCGGTACTAACGCTTTTGTTACCTTCAGCACCTTCGAGACACAGGTCCATGGACCGATCACTTTAGCTGTGGAATGTCGTCTCGAGTACAGTTGGTTCAGAGGCATAAATTCGAGGTGAAGTGTGAAGGAATGTTATCAGGGCATGCTGAGCCGTCGAAAAGCACACCCACTGTCACGCCCTTTTCTTAATAATGAACTCACTGAGAAACAGTGCAATCATGGATGGGTGCACGGCGACAAATAAAGCAACAGGAAGCAACGAGTAGACTGGAAAAAAATGTTTATTTCTCTCATTTCTCTGTGTACAAAACAACCAGAACCGCCGACAAGCTCTGTACACGAAGAGCACCTCAAAACAAGTGGGTTTTTTTCCCCCTCATTTTTTTCGTCTCACTTTTTCTGGCGTTTCCCAGTCCATGCAATACTTCCACAATTAAAGGAAGTTGGCGACGCATCACTAATGCCACAAGACATCGCGATTTGGGTTCGCGATAGCGCGCTTTCGCGAAAAAACATTCACGAGACAGTACGAACACATACACTTATATCATGCGTGCTAGACCTTTTTTTTTGTATTTACGCATGAATACGACATAAAGAATAAAAGTGTTCTTCAACAGGCTAAGTTGCCGAATCGAGCTCTGTAAACATGATCGGAGCTGCCCATGCGCAGGGGTGGAGCCGTTCGACCCAAAAGCCTAGCCAAAGCAAGGAGCTCACGTTGCTTACTGACGACACTCAGTCACGAACAACGAGTAAATAAATAAATATAAATGTGCATTGGGGAAGGATATAGTACACTCTGCGGCAAGTGTGCACGATGTGTCGAGCTGCCTCACCATGAACGTGCGTCGAGGAAGAGAGGAACTTCGAGGACGGTGCAGTTAACGTGGAAAACTCGCACGAATCGGTGACAGCTACACACAGACGCTGGCAAACCATGAGAGGCAGCTTACTCGAATCACTCAGAAATGAGAAAAAGATCAGATATGGGAGCACGCTGCACGTAACAAATAAAGTTGGGTGCACAGGCGAACACTTCAGTATACGTATGCCCAACACGCTGCCTATCTTGCCGTGCACATTAAAAGACGCACGAAATCTCAACATTTTGATCTGTAGTTCAAAAGCTCACGAATGAGATACAAAGACGAGTGCCCAAACACTTGCCCCCACTTTGTAAGTTCCAATCACAGGAATGTTGTTTTGATCCCTTCATGTGCAGTGTCGTTCGTTTGACATCGAGGTTCACTATGTCCACATATGCTGTCTTTTCTTTTTGTCTCTCTCTCTATGTCGAGCTGTGCTGCTTCGAAAGGGCATATCCTACTGAAGTGCAGAGCAAATATCAAGGGCATAACAGCGACGCTAGTATAGCGATCCGCGCCAATGAGGATTTCGGCGAGGGCCGTTGTTCCGCCGTGTGGGTGTGGCTGAGGACTCCTCAAACGGCCCTGGCCCGAGGGCCAGTTCGTGGGGAACAACTTTTTTTTTTTTTTTCACCAACACAGACACCTTAGTTCCTGTGTTCAAGGGGCAGGCACACTAGGACTTTGGTGGACCCTCCGACGTGGAAGGCTTGCCCACTGACGAGTCACCGGAGTTGTTGCTTGCTGACGGGTCTGCATTAAAGAAATCATGTAAGTAAAAAAATAAATGATCCCCGGCCGAAATAATCGACCATGTTATCAAATGCAACTTTCAGATTTCTGGTATCAACAATATTGAACAACGCTAGAACTTTTTCATGCACAGAACTGCTATTTTGGCAAAAAACAGAACTTTATTGAAAGAATGGCAGAAATCTCGTAACGAAAATTGACAATTTTAGTTAAAAAAATATGAGGTGACCACCACACAGTAAAGGTCTACTGGTCACTTTCAGTGAAAGTACAACATGCTTTCCAGCATTATCAACATAGTAAGAAAAGCAGATATTTATATATCTGTAAAGATACCTCGGGTTAACCGTCTAGCGCACCTTGAGACAACGGCAGCCGGAAAAAAGCAACAAACATGTTGCATTGATGCCCAAACTAAGTATAGCTTCGTTTTCGTCAGATTGCCAAATGCTTTAAAACATGCATCATCAGACATGTGGGGCTCACGTGTTCCAAGAGAAAAAAAAAATGAAGGAAAAGATACCTGGGGTGACCACCATGCTGGAAAGAGTTAAAGAGTGTCGTACAGCGCCTCAGACACACGATCAAGCAATAAAAAATGGTGCTGTAAAGTATTTCGCACACGCGACGTTTTCCGTATAGTTCCGGTGAACTTAGCCACTTAAGCGGGAAAAACTGAATCTCACAGACTTCACAAGAACATGCTAGTTTTCATTATAAGAGGCTGAAATAATACGAACATCTATGTGCTGGTTTCATCAAAGATCTTGGCATAATCCATACATCCTGAATCAAAAAAATAAAAAATAATGCTATCATTAGAATGCGAATGAAGGTGAAGGTGATTTTTCTGAAGTGCCGACTTGTGCCAAGCTTTTGGCAATTAGTACAATCTTCACTAAATGATAGTGAACAATTGCATAGCTGGTAATAATTAGTTGTCTGCTCCACTTTCTTTCACCTGTTCGGCAATTCTTTAGGCTAGGGTCCTGTGAAACATGCGATCCTTGAAACTCTCCATCCACGCATGACAGTCTTGGCTGCGCACACACACACGCACACACATATTATATATATATATACACGTTAACTTGGCTGGCATTTAGAATCGCGAACATGCATCGTCTGAGATCGACCAACGCGTTGTGAATTATTGAGATTGCAAATAATCATCCTCTGGAAACCCGTAAAACTGAAGTAAATGGTACTCATTTTTCCCACATTTTATTTTTTGCTGTAGAATTGCGTTCCCTCTCGCAAGACACTAACTATATGCAAGTGTCTCATTCCTGGAGCAACCTCTTCTGGGTGCGCCGGCGTGAGCTGTGTGGCACTGTGCGGTCCAGTACACTATGAACACGATCTATTTTTCAGAGTGACCACAGCGTCAGAACGGACAGCTTACTGAATAAAAAGAAAGCGATATTGAGACGGACCTGGACAAAATAGAATGCCATGACCGCATCACCTCTCTACATGAATGGGCGAACTGTGGCCAGGTCTGAGGCTTTTCGGCATTTCCCTAGCGGCCAATGTCAGCGAACTTAGGACGGGCCATTGCGAGGAACTAGCTCCCTCTGGTCAGTGTACTGTAAAAAAACGCAGCACCAGAAACGTTCAGTAATGCAGGGACCACTATAGCTCTCTCTGCGTGTGGCCAGTTCATGTTGCTGATCCATAATTAAATATGGAAACAGCTCGAATAAGAGAGACTGTGTTTGTCGTTTACTTCGTTTACGTTGCAGGGTTGTCAGCAGCGCGGCGCGTCTTACCACTGCATGAGAGTTTCTGGAAGGAGCAGGGCAGGGACGCGGTGCTGACGTTAGTGGCGCCCTCCTCGAGAATGTCGGGGAGGGCGTTACGACGCCCCGTGCGACCCGTCTGCAGGAAGGCGTCGAAGCCCGGCGCCGTGCCTCCTCCGGTGGCGCCCGCGGGGTCGCCCACTGGCTGCTGCTCAACCTCCATCTCGATGCTGCTCACGCAGGCTGCACGTACACCGAAGAGAAGACGGTATGTGGAAAAGGCAGTGCAAGACATATACCATACAGGTATGGCCGCACAAACGTAGTAAGATACAAAGACACCCGACAGTGCGACGACCTCAACTAATACTTCATTTTTGGGTCAGCTCGCATACTTTTCGGAAAGCATCAATAACAGGCAATTGATACCACAAAAAAGAGAGCAGAAGAAACACAACAAAAAACTGAACCCTTTCTTCAAACAAATGTTACTGGAGTGCAAGGCATAATATCCCTCCTGTAGGAAAGACCTCACATACGCAGGTTCGAGAACTGATGGCTGTGCATTGCGAGTTGAGCGACAATAATTGTATGAAAAATTCTATAAACAGAGGTTGTGTGCTGGAGCTGACGTTTCGACAAGTGGACTTGTCTTCTTCAAGGCTAGGAACAGTTCTATAGAAACAGTCCTTGAAGAAGACAAGTACACTTCCCTTCCTAGCTGTCGTTTACTGAAATTATCGAGGTTTTAAGTGGTGAGGTTTCAAGCCACAATAACACGATATGACCATGAGAAACTCCGCAGTGGAGGGCCCCGGATTTTTTTAGACCACCTGGAATTTTTAACGTGCACTTAAATGCACGCAGGCCTCGATCATTTCCGCCTCCACCGAAAATGCGGCGCCCAGAATTTGATTCCGCGAAGTTCGGGTCAGCAGTCCAGTACCATAATTATTAGGCCGCCATGGCGAGTTGAGTTGGATGATACGCATGTGCAAAATACGTATCGAGCACACCGAGTCAGGTCCACCGCTGAAGGCACACCCTGGTCGGTTTCACCCATAGATTACCGCTGAGATATTGAAGTTTCTTTTGCTTCCATTACAGAAACAAGGAGCACGAGCAAAAGGCTACAAAGGGCTCCTGCTCCCGTTGGCCACTCAGCATCAGCAATACAAGTGACAATACATAATATACCACACACTTCATATCATATTAAATGTCACATTAGTAGTATATAAATCACACTATGCATAACAGGTGAAAAAAAAATAACAACAGAAAACTTGTAGCCTAAGTTAGTCCAGGTAAGCTGCCCGGAATACAATAGAAATATGTGCATTAAATGGTTAAATACAGATGATTAAGAATCTGTAGAATAAATTTCCTGTATCATCAGTAATTATAACAACACAGGAAACAAGAGTGAATTCGATTATTCAGTTCTAAAAAAACCATAACAGTATGACACAAAAATAGAGCAAGAAATCGAAGACACGTTCTTTATGCGTGAAGCCGGGCGGAGAAAATCCGCAAGCATCTTCCCACGGCGGGGAACTCGAGTACATGCGTTGCACAGTGGTGGGGTTATTGGGTGAATGTTGCGTAATTGGGTATGGTTTGGGAATGCTCAATTGTTATTTCGTCTTTATTATTCTGACTTATTGGATGACACGTCCGATTGATTACATCAGGTGCTTGACGATAGGATACAAAAATTGTCTAGTTATGTTCTACAGAATTGCACAGTTCACCGCACACTTTGCCATTCCTTCTCCCTTCCTTTCACTCCCCATCTCCCATCGCCTTAAGAAAAGTAGCAGGCCAATAAAAAGGGCGAAATGTTACGTGTAAAGCGTATTATTTCGCAATCGAAATACAATATATATAAGGTTGGACTGACGACAATTCAATGGCCAAGATTAAACACACTATAACTATGCTGTTGTACGGTTAGCGGTGAGGTCAGTTCTCCCCCAAGGTGCCGACGTCCGGTTTCACTCTGCTCTGTTGGGCCATACACCTGTTTTCGCGGGTTTTCCTTGAATCAACCCCCAGTAAAGTCGCACCGAAAGGTCTGACAGGGCATTTATAGAGATGAGGGAGGGAGGCAAATCAGTTGTCGGAACTGAATTCATTCACGATCCTTCAGATTTTTTAGACGGAGTGAAATGTCCTTGTTCATCGAGGTGTTTTGAGTTCATTTTGTTAATATAATACTACAACTATTGCTACTGCAACGAAACATTTATGATATCGGCATTTCTTACGTACATGTCCAATGCCGATTAACAACGGCCCCAACAACAATAATAAAAATGATAATGATGATGCTGACAGTAATATCAGAGGACGGTTTATCAGGTTAGCCCCATGACCTGTACCTCCGCATTTCAACAACAAAAAAAGAAAAGCTAGCCCCACTAACCGCGATTTCACACTCACGCAGTCAACACTCAAAAGACAACGCGGACGTTCTGACGGCTCCAAAGCTACATACAACGCGGGCGTCATGATAGTAATCAGCGCTATATGCGAGACAAAATATACGACGGTACATACGGTCAACGACAGCCGCTGACGCTAGTGCGGTTGTCGTTGACCGCACTAGCGTCGGTGTTGCGGGCATCGGCGGGACCCGAAACTACAAAGATGGCGTCGAAGGGCCAACAATGGACGTGCGCGCAATAGTGTTGTCCTTTGACTCGCATCACGGTCAGACAATAAGTGCCTGTTGGGTGGTCCACGTTACGACCACGGGTGAACGAAATTGGCGTTTAATCCTTAAAGAAGAAATAAAAGAGGCGGAAAGAGAGACGTCAGCCGCGCATCTTCGCTTAATATGCGCGCTTATAATAAGTTTAAGCAATAAGTTGTCTATCCCCCAACCCCCTCTCCGCTATTCCCCTCTAGTCTATCACGTACTTTATCGATTCCTCGACAGCAAACGAGCCTGGAGTACTCTGCCAACCACCAATCCTCGTTTCATCTCCTTAACCGCTGCTGTTACGCGTCTTGTGTCACACTTGCCCGACCACCGGGTCAACCTCCAAGCGAGAGGAAGGCTTCACCGTACGAGATTTGCACAAGCCGAAGTTGAACTTGCCGAGGTCGACGCCCTCCCCTTTCTTGACAGAAAAGCGTGCCCGAGTTTACTTTCGCAGGACTGCGCAATCTCCTTGCAGCTCTGCGGACGTGCGACCGCAAACTGCGGGTTCTTCGCGTGCACACAAGCAAAGCGTGATTCGACATATTTATTCTGCAGAAGGGCTTGTCCTTGGGATACTTGCTACTTGCTAATAATCATGGTGAAAGCAAGGACCCAAAACATATATAAGTGCCACCATCCAGCAGACATTCCAAGGACTAAACGAGATGTAGCTACCTACTACTACTACTGCTACTGCTACTACTACTACTACTACTACTACTACTACTACTACTACTACATACATCGGGTACGCACGACCCACGGCTTAAGGAGCTTCGCCCCTAAAATTCAGACTACCGCATCGTCAACGGCTGATCGCCCACAAGCCCGCGACAGAGAGAGCAACGGCGCACGCAAATACGCACGTGGCAGCTTCTAAGGCAGCATCTCCGCACGCTAGACGGCGCTGCGTTTCTCGCTTACTGCTTTCTGTTCCTGCTTACTGTTTCTTGCTTACTATTTTATGGTACGGCTTTTTCGGGGTCCAGTCACCAGGTATTTATTAGTTAGTGCGGGTGTGTGTGTTTAAATTTTTTTTGTTGTTTTTTTTTTCTTTTGCCACCCCGTGGGGGAGGTGCGCGTACATTGAACACGCAAATTTTTGTAGTAGAGCTTAGACTTTCTCTTTTTTTTTTTCGTAGTGCAGGGCTCGAGTTTAGTAATTATCGAGTATAGGGACAATTGGTGTCAGAAAGGCATGGTTAAAAAGACTGTAAAGTGTTCAGGATGTGGAGTGGGTTTGAAAGTGGACCCAAGCGTAGAAGCGGATGGAGAAGAGGCTGACGCGAAGTGTAGGCAATGTGAGGTCGAGGAAAAAATGGAGAAAATGATGGTTGCCCAGAGTGAACTGCTGATGAGAATCGCCCAGCTCGAGACTGCGTTGGCGACAGAGCAAGAGAAAACGAGGGCAATGGGAGAAAGACTGAAGTCCGCCGAGGAAGCGCTAGCGAAGCTGAACAAAGAAGCGACCTACCGAGAGAACAGTAAGGAACCGGCAACCAGAACGGTGGAGAAGGAAAAGCAAGCAAGTTTGGAAAAAACAGGTTTAGCCGGTTCAACTGTCGCAAGGCCCAGCTTCAGCGAGGTAGTGGTGGGGCAGGGAAGGAACAAAACAGCCGGCGTCACAGGTGCAAGTAGCCCCCAGGTGCAGAACGCTCCAGCTGAAAAGTCATAGCATGTGATAATCGCCGGGGACTCGAATTTAAATCGATGCACAGAAGCCATCAAAGAGAGGGTAAGAGGTGACAAGAGTGTTGCAGTGGGGGCGTTCCCAGGACGCAAGCTGGAAGCAGTCATGAGGCAAGCGAGTGCAAAGCTCAAAACGACAGCTGATAGACGAAACCTCGTGATAATTTCAGGCGGTTTAAGCGATGTCCTAAATGAAGATGCAGCAGGGCTAGCAGCCACACTGGCGAAAGGCGTCGATGACATGCGCGCCACTTCTCCTAAGGTACAGGTAGTGATATGCACGATACCGGAGGTACCGGTGCGTGATAGCAACCTGCAAAGAGCGGTGGTCAACGCAAACCAAGAGATATGGCGGATGAGTCGAAAGAAAGGCTTTGAGGGGGTGGAAATAAACAGAGAGGTGCATAGGTGGGAGGGTTTTCAACGAGACAGAATTCACTTCGATGGGCGGCTAGGTCATGAGGTGGGTTGGCGACTTGCAGGACGCGCAGTAGCTTTTTTGGGGGGCAAGCGAGCCCTTCGGGGTGCAGGATAGCTAGTAACGAGGAAAACAACCAGGGAGACTCTTCGACAGGTGTTATGGACAGATGCGATTCCAAAGTGGCACCAATATCTAAGATACGTAGAGTCCGGGGCATAAATAGACGTAGCCACGAGCGCCGAGCCAATTCAGACATAGGATATATTAACATGCAGGGTGGTAGGAACAGGCTGAAGTGGGAAGAGATAGAAGAACAGCTAAGGGAAGAGAGGCCGATGGTATACGGTTTTGTAGAAACACATCTCAGGGACATGGAACAACCTCCGAACAATCCGGACTACGCGTGGGAATATTGTAATAGAA